TGGAACAGGTATGGAACAGGTATGGAACGGGATGGACAGGACACCCAGCTCAATATCACTTTTCAGGTATTGCATTTGATGGTCTGGAACGGAGGGGTCTGGAGCGAAATTCGGGGACCACATCCGGAGCTCCGGATCAGGGTCTGGATCGGGATGTGCGCTCGCGCTTGTTCCGCACCTTTCATATTGAGCGGTAGCCTAAAATTCACTGGAAGATGATCATCGCCAAGCCAAAGAGGCATGCATTTGGCCAACACAAACGACAGGAAAAAGCTATTACGGTATCAAGCCTTACTGTTGAGCATGACCTGCAGGGGACACACTACTATATCGAGCACCAGCGACACTTGATGACGTCTATGTGATGTGCTCCTGCAGTGTCAGATTACTAACTTACAGAATGATGTATGGAGCAACTGCCACTGTTTCTTTCTCCGTCGGTCTCCTCGCGGCGTGTTGCCAAGCAAGCTTTTGACTATGCCTTTCAATGCGACCTGCCAGCACAGAGGCTACGCTGGCTTGGGCCTACCGGCAACCTGCCAAGTAATTAAAGCGGCGACGATACCACCTGCAAAGCTTTTGGAAGCGTGAGTTGGGCTCTTCCCAGCTCCAGCAGATGGGCTTCACTTCGATCTTCTGTGGCTTGTCCTCCTCCTGCTCTAATATCACTTGCTCCACTTTGGCGAGAACTGCGTTGGTTTGCAGGAAGATGTCGCCTGGCATCAGCTGCCTAGGTTCAGATGGAGCTCACCGCTCTTGAGAGATCATGATTGCTTGAAAGTTCTGGAGCGGGTCTGGCCGCAGTGGCCAGGCCTCTGGAAACAATGTTACGAGAATGACCGTACCAGTATCTCTTCCATGCGAGGAGACCTGCAAGTTGCTGCATCGAGCTGCAAGTGCAGGAAGAGCAGCTTGGGCGCCAAAATGCAGATGCAGTGCACTGCGAAGTTTGCCTGTCTAGTCCACTGAGAAAAAGAGGCTTTGCTTACTGTCACTTTGAACGCTGGCTCAGAACAAGCTCAGAAGCTGTTTGACGTGAGGCTCATCCCCGAACAACACCGAGCAGGACCGGCCTGTTTCAAAGACCAGCGATGCAGCTTCCCACACTCTTTCTCGTCAGCACCAGGAGGGCAAGCCCACTCCTGTAGGATCAGGTTATCAATCGTTGCTGTCCAGGGCTTGGCGCAGTCTATGATGATTGCACAACTCTTGTGACCTGACCTGATGGCAGTAAATTCAGATACGTCCATCACTGGCAAACCTTTATGCAGGCACTGACAAATCTTAACCTTTCGGAAGAGGTCTGCTGACACAGACATCGCACTATACAAGACTAACTCCAGGGAGCCACCTTCCAGGCTCTGGTAATGTTGAAATTAGACCGGAGAATCGATTGGGTTGGTCTCCAGGATTTCTAAAATCTGGCAGTTTGGGCAGTGCGCCTTGTAGCGCAAGTCGCACAAGCCTCATTTTTGATGCGTCACTGCTTGCAACCCTGAAGCTCCTCGCAAAAGATTGAGAAAGCCTCCAGAGCGAGAAGGGTCCACAGTGCGGTTGCCAGCCAATTCCGTGATCGGCTTCCATAGGGCTTCGCGGTGCGGATGCCCAAGCCAACGAGTAGCAACGCGGCAGCCACCCAGCCGTAACTGCTTTGTCTCAAGCTGAAACAGATCTGGGATAAGCCGCACAGGAAGAGCTTCTGAACTCCTTCACACATCAGCGGATCCTGAGTAAGAGCACCCAGGGCTAGCCAAAAACAGGCTTCCCGCCCAAGCAAGTCAAACGGAACGGACTTCTCAGAATATCATGAGTACCTTTGGCATTTCCGACCTTGTGGGCAAAGCGCTCGAAGGAGCTCCGCATCCCGAGCCAAAGGGGGTACTCGAAGCCCCCTTTGGTAGTTTCTCCGCTCCTCCCCCCAGCTGATCTTAGCAAATGGGCCAGGTAACTCCCTAGCAAGCCGCAGCCGTTACAATCTGCAAGTCTAGACTTGGAATGAAGACACAGTCAGATTTGATCCCTGCGATTGACTGCCTGATCACAGCTACGTTGAGGTCCTCCACAGGCGCTGCCCACCCGCGAACCTGTGTTTGGACATCTGGCGATGAAGCAAAGCTTCACCTTGGCACAGGTTGAGCTTGTCTTGCGCAGAGTTGAGCCTCGTACACATCAGACCAAAGCTGGGGAGCAAAATAGTCACGACCATGCCCCCAGTCATTTGTACGAGCATGTCAGAATGCCGAGAGGCCGCTTATAGTTTTAAGCGGAAATCACAAAGCCCAGCTCTGGTCTCAGGTTGGAAAGGAGAGTAGCCAAAACTGCAGAGCTAGGCTCAGCAGCTTCTCTGTGCCCACCGCACAGCGCACGGGGAGCTGAGATGATCCCTGATCTTGCTTGTGAGTCTATAGTGCGGGGTCAAGACCTTGCAGAACAAGAACCAGTCATAAGACACTAACGAGCCCATTTGCCCCACCGTTCTCTTTCTTCTATGGCTCTCACGCTTGGTGGGCCTTCCTAGTCATGCCGTACTTTTGAACAGCTTTGGAAGGTGCTACGGGCATTCTATGGCATTCTAATGGTAGAAAGCAGAAAGGCGCCAGACTGACAGCGGACTGTCAAAGACCATGCGATCTTGGAGAACAACTGCCGACAGTACTGGGCACCACTGCAAGCCAATGCAGCTGAACAAGAACGTCGGCAGGTCCAAATTCAAGACACTTCTCGCCGAAATGCTATCCCAGTAGCTGATCCATTCTGCCTGCATCTGCATTCCTTCAATGCCTGACTTTCTGTGATGCGGCTATCTCATGTTACGTCCTCATCAGTCTCAGACTAGACCAAAGCACGACGCTAAGATAGCCAGGACGCGCTCTGCCCGGTGCGCCTCGTCCATTTGTCTCCAAGCAGATGAGGAGTCAGAATCTTTGATGCAAACCCTGATGCTGAACTTTGTCTTGGTCACCTCAACGGGGCGGCTTTTCTGGCGGGCGCCTTCTCAACAATGTGCCACTTAGGACGCTTAGTATTTGCTAGCTCCGAACCTCTGCAGAGCTGCTGCCGCACATTTCCGACATGCAAACCATGTAGGCAGCAGCATAGATACATCCTGCTCGCTCCGATAGCTCTGCATCTTGTGTTTGCTGGTAATCTAACCTTGCACAGAAGATACACTTGTGATGCAATCAGGCTCCACAAGCGGTATATGATCTTAAGACCCGCAATGGATCATGTCTTGCAGATTTGGCCAGGTGACCCCATGGCAGTAGATGCTGATTTTGCCAAAGCTAGGCCGATTGACATGCGCTCATTTGCTACCGTCTCTCTGCGTCGAACTGGCTCCACGAAGCTTCGTCGACTGTAAAGCGCCTTCATTTGCCTGCACTTTTGTGTCGCAGTTGTGCAGGGTGCAGATGTTCATGCTGGAAGGTGAGCCCTGGCGTGCCTCTGTACAAGTTAGGTCCCCGCTGCCCCAGTGATGCGAAAGTGGAGTTTGAGTATAAAGAATATGAAGGACAGGAAGCTATGACTGCAATTATCTGCTTGCCTGCGGATGTACTGGGCGACCAAGATCAACATTGATGGGACGAGCACTGCATTCAAGAAAAGCGCTGTGAGCAGCCAGAGCTGGTCCTCGCTTGGCCAGACACATAATTAGCAGGAGAAACAAGCTCTTTCAGCATCAGCCATTGACATTTCGGACTTCCAGCTGGTTCAGACAAGGCACAGGGTCATAGTCGCTGACATTACCACACTTGACCCAGGGTCGTTCTTCGAAAAATGCCATGTTATCCAATGGATGACCCTCTTTGTCTTGGCGGAGGCACCAGCTCAGGTTGGCGTTGAGTGTCTTCACCGTACCCACAAAAAATAACGAGGTTGCCACTATGATGACCTTCAAACCTAGAAGCCAGCTTCCCTTGCAGCTGCCTGTAATCAATGCCAGCGAAACAATAGCTGGGAGGCAATAAACGGAGGTAAAGATCTCCGAGCGCCTGCCAGCCTCATAGCCCACACTGCACTGTACTGAGAAAAGCTGCAAAAGCCAGCCGAATTGAAGCTGCATGATCTCGCTTCTTGACCTGGTGGTAGCAGCTAGAACCGCTAACTCAAACATCCTATTCATGTTATCTGCATGCCCGAACTGCTGGAATATGCAGCCCCTGAGTCACAGTCCAAGTGACCTCGGGCGTGCCTCCAGGGCATTGAGCATGGAAACCAGCTGTTCGTAGGTTAGAAGCAGGAGCGCCTGCTCCAGCATTTCCACCTGCCACGCGGGTGTTACATCACGCACGCTTTGCCCGCTCTCAATGCCGGACTCTGGCTCTAGACCTCTACGTGGTCCCGCATCCTTCGTTTTAACACCTTAGCAGCCTCGCTGCCAATTCCATGGTGAGCGACAATTGGGCTCTAGCATAAGGAACCCATTCCAGCACAACCACAATATGAAACTGTCGAATCGACATCTTAAAAGCCTTGTACAATTTTTGGGCCGAACTACTTTTCGCCAGCCCTCTTCCGTGTCCGTAAACCGTGGCGGCTCCCGGTACATGAAGTAATAGAAAGTGCCAGCAACGGCGATGATGACGCCACAGCCTGCAGGGCTAGGACATTCTGCAAGAACTACAAGATCCAATTCTCAAAAAACTCTTAAGATTGCATCTGTTCCGCTTGGCCAGCTTCATCAATCACGCTACGCTGGTGGCATTTGTCACGCAACATCGGTCGATTGGCTCGCAACCTTTGAATTTTGGTAGGTCTGCTGCGGCGTCCTGCTTCATCATACCCACTTGCGTCGGTGGGTGCGCACTAATTCGGCCTCTGAAAAGAATTTAAACGTGACCGCTAGTCACGCCAGTTCATGCGCTGTGTTCGTGCAGCAGGGTCAGTGTGCCTCATTGCAGCTGTGCGCTCGGGCAGTGCACGCATGAGGCCGACGTTGCGCCAGTCTTGTTGTGAACCCCGGCTGCGCCGGCGGCAGTGTGCTGTAGTACCGTGCCTTCCTGGTCAGGGACCTTCCTGGCAAAGTGCTTGCGTAATGCAGAGCAACATACTGCTAGAATGCCTGACAATCCTGAAGATGGCTCTGACCAAATGACATGCAACAAACTTCCGTGCTCGGTAAAGCTTTGTCATTCAAGGCGACCCAGATGATAGCAGTAGCAGTATCCCAATTATTCTGATCCTGTGCTGGTGCGTGCCACAGCTTTCAGCAGGCCTGCGCCAGCCAGGACCGCCAAGCGCGTGCGCATGCTCCAGCTAGGGTCGCACGGCAAGCATGCACCGAAAAGTGCGTGGAAATCCTCCTTGCACATCGTGCATAAAGGTCCGGTGTACCCTGTCGAGCAGTCCGACTTACCACATTCGAAGCCTTGACAGGTATTGTTGTAAGGGCAGGTGAAACAAATACTCTCTTCTTGGTCTGTGTTCTTGGTGTTCAGGCGTGCGGTGCCACGGGGACACGTGCAGCATTTGCCATCCACACTCTCCTGCCGACCCTTGCAAAGCGAGCATTCGGTTCCAGTGCCAAAGAATCCTTTTCTGCAGCTGCAAAGGACTTTCGGAGCAAATGTTTGCGAAGTGACCAACACTCTAGTCGGCTCAGCTTTGTCGACTGGAGTCTCATTGGGCACAACGCCAGTGCATGCAAAATTTGCTCCGCCATCTGTTTCCTCGCGGGATTTCACGAACAGCTCGCTGAATTTGGCCTGGTCCACGTGATACGATGTGTTCAGAATGTTCAGGAGCAAAGGCACCTTGAAGTATGCATCATCGATTTTCTTCAAAGGGTTCTTGCTCAAATCCAACGAGCAAGTCCGTGGCTCACCCACCACATTTTCAATCTGGTTGTCGGAAAGATCCAAATACATGACTTGCCAGTCGAGCGGGAACCCGAGATATCTGAAAAGTCCTTGGAGCGTTCCGGTAAGGTTGGCGCTTGCCGCGAGCAGGGTTGACCTCAAGTCAGCCAGGATCTTGAAGAATCATGACGATCTATGATCTAGGCGAGGCAATATGAAAACGGCCACAAGGAATTCACCTTCCGTACAACCCCCATGCCCTGCTCTTATGTTGCATGAAGGTCGCAGATGATAGTTGTTGGCCAGGGGTAGGAGAAAGTCCCACACATCCATATGAAGGGCGTTGCCGCTCATGTCCAGCTTCCCCAATGATGGGAAAGGCCTCCTCGTCTGATAGATTTGTCTGAACTCTCGGGCCGAGTAACTTTGGGTTTTAGCCGACCCGAGCCAGTGATGTAACTGAAACACCTACGTATGGGTGGGTGAGTAACACCTTGCTTCACCCGAAGGACCTTGAGGGAAGCGAACACCTTCTGACAGCAAGTCGTCACAAACACTTCAAACCAATGCACGCAAGCACAAGACAAATTCAGGACCGACAGGAGCTTATCGAATCAAAGCCATGCTCATTCTTGCAGCCTCCGCAGCCAGTGTAAAGCTGCACGGCAAACAACATCCGTGGAGATTAGTAGTAATTGCTGCCATGAATGCTCGACGGACTGACAGATGCACTTCATGCGGATCAGATGCCGGTCTTCTGTGCTCCAGGGAGGCTTAGGAGCCGACATGCTGAACTTCACAGAAGTGCGGAATACCATCAGCTCCTTGAGCTTCTGACCCACTTCAAGCCACCTGGCTGTAACTCAACAGTTCTTCCAGTGGGATGCACCATGAAGAGTTGCAGCGTTTGGATCCAAACTTCTACTTTCAGCAGCAGGCGCCTGTCATTGATCGATCCGTACATACGCGTGTGCTGCAAATGCAGGTAGACGATGTTCTCAAACTTCTCTAGCAACTCGGTGATGTCACCTGTCACCTGGTTCCAAGTGTTGTGCCCAAAGTGTGGTTTGAAAGCAAGTGACAAGCGCGGGTAGACAGACAGAGCTGAGGTCGCGGCATCTGTGTACTGCATCCACAAACCCTCGAGTGAATTAGAGCTCTGCAGCGTTGACACGTTGCCAGTAACGGATGTGCTTTGCAAGTCCAGGAACTTGAGGCGTGACCAATTCAGATCGTGCAGGTCGCCTCAAAATGCAAACACCCCATGGCTTCCTTGACATTCGTCTGTAAGCTGAGTGAGAAAGCACTGTGTGAACCATGTTTGCATGAACATGTCTGATGGGTGGACCTAACTAGCTTCAAATGACTTCCCTGCAAGCAAAGACAGACACGAGCAGCTAGAGCGGCCAAGTCACCTGTGATGTGTTGCCCGCTCAGCTTCAAAGCCTCAAAGCTGAAGTGCTCGAGGTCTTTCAAGCTACCATCCATGTTGCACCACCTGGCACCAACAATCACACGTGTTGAAGTGAACACACATGAGTGCTAGATTCGTGGACCTGTTTCTAGCTAGCTGCCCTTGTAGTACGGCAGCTGATCGATGCGTTCCCGGCTTAGACACTTTCACGGACTCTGAGACATCCGTCCCTTGCTTTTTTCAAAATGCCAACGCCTCATGTGTAGTCGGGTGACCTGGGCCAGGTTTTTTGTGCAATTGGAGGCCTACTGGCGAACTCATTTCAAGAAGAAACGCCTGCTCCGGCCGAGGAAACTTCAAGTCCGCCAGTTGTCCCGCTATGCTGGCACCATCCATCACCAGCCTGCGGCACTAAGACTGCGCGCAGTATCCTCCAACTTGCAATCCAAGACAATGCGCAAAAGTATCGTCTACATCTTTTGGTGTCTTGGCCCCAACTGACCCTGGCATGGCCACTTCTCATCTTCCCCAACCAAGTGGGAAACAATTTAACACCAGCTGGAGGACCAGCTGATGCACGAACTCATAATTCACCAGCAGCGGAAGCAGCACAGTTGGGTTCGTTCAGCTTATACTCATCTGAAGCGCTTCGGGGCAGAAGTTCAGCTTATACTCATCTGAAGCGCTTCGGGGCAGAAAACAAGAGCAGGCATAAATCATATCTGCAACCCGGGCCGCAACTCACATGCAATTCTCAACAGTGCCCTGGCTTCAGTGCATGGATTCCCCAACAAATGCTTTCCGAAATCGAATGCGTCTCTGACTCCAGAGCCACCAGTTTGTAGTGACAGATGTTGGTGCGCTATGCAACAAATGTGGAGGTTCTGATATTTGTCGGGGCAGTCTTGCTGCCTTTCATGCTGACTGCTCCGGCCTTGAAGGATCTTACTTCCAATATGATTGAAGTGCACAATCATGACTCAAGGTGCTGCTACGCAACACAAGACCACGGATTTCCTCGACCAAACGCGGATGTACCCAAGTGAACATTAAGCCATGAAACAACAACACACGAGCATACTAATGTTGCATCCTAACATGCATCACACACACACACCCACACCACCTCAACCGTGAGGAATCCCTGGTGCGGTCTCATTACCGAAAGTAGCTACCAACTACTATACCTTCTCACTTCTCGCTTGGCCAAGGAGCGCGCTGAGATTGGGAAGGAGCTGAAGAGCACAGCTCAAGTGCGCAGCACGCACTGTGTTGGGCGCTTTGGCCTTGATGCCCAGGCTGACAATTCTTCGGTCCATGCCTTGGCTTGTTATTCTGAAGCCGTGGTTTGAGCTGGTCAGGTGGAGTTCTGAAGCTTGGCTACATATTTAGAGCCTAGCCAAGAGCTGGTACTAGCCGTTTAAGTACCTCATTCTAAATCAACCGATATGAGCACAAAGTTTTGTGGAACAGTCGAGTTGCATGATACATCAAACTTGCCACCAAGATGGACAACGGCGGGCTTTTTTTGCGGTTGCTCAACATTAGGGCAGACCCAGGAAGAATTTTGCGGCACTGGATGCTGCTCCCATAGCGTTTTCAGGAAGTATATCGCCTGATGGGCACACAGTCACATCGCTGCAGACGCATGCCATCCGCGCAGACTGCGGGCAAAAGCTATGAAATTGAATTACGGTGTGGATCCGCCTCCCACTCCCTATCGCTTGAATGCACGTCCTTCCAGTCGCCTGGGCACACAATCTCCCCACCAGCCTGCATGCACCAGGCGCAAGCAAACATGAACTGTGCAAACAGCGAGACAGATCTCCAATGGCATCAGTAGTCAAGACCGGCGCCACCAACAACGCGTACTAAATAGACTCAAGCCCACAGGCCAAAAGTACACACAGGCGGCGCCGCGTAACCGCCAAACAATGGTAGTCAGGTTCTGGCACGATCAATGAAACAACCTGCACAAGCAGACAGCAGTGCTCGGACCATACCGAAATTGAGGGACATCCAGGCTAGCATTGAGCTGATTTTTCCGGAATATATGCTGGCAACCTTTCTAGCGATCGTCCTCACTGGCGGCGGCACAGCGATCACGGTCACGATCTGGCCTACTTCTTGCTACTGCTAAGTGGGGAGACGCCGGATACAGCTGGAATCGAAAGGGGGTGGCTGAACACGAGCAGGCGGATGCGGGTTTGCTGACGCAAGGTGGAAAGGACGTGGGGTTTGGGTGGGTTGAAGATATAGGGCCATAGCGAAGAATCTCTACCCTTTCCACCAGTGCTGTAGCTCGGTAGCGCAAAGGCCTCCGCAGCCATACCAGGATGCCAGCCTGGGGCCCACTCATGATCCCCAGCCTGCCGATAGAAGCAGCTTGTCTTGTGTGCCTGGTGTCTGCTATCACCAGGTGTTAAACCTAGGAGTTCAAAGCGCGTGGTGTCATTTCACAGCGTACGAGCTTGGATACCACCCGGGAGACTGCTTATGCCTGCATGAAAATTGAAGAGTCATGCTCAGCCTTCATTGCAAAAACCATCCTGCTTTGCCATCCGTCCACTGCTAGCCATGACAAGCAAGTACAGTGTCGTCACGGACCTGCAGAACTTAAGAGAAACAACTAATATCCTATACACCACCCCAGACAACGATGTGCTCAGCTTCTGGGATGGGCCAGCCTGCTCAAGGCTATTGGGAGGGAGCTGCGGACGATGCCCACGCCCAAGCCAAGGCACGCAAAGCAGCAGCCACCGCATGAGCAACCATGTGCCAAACAAGGCCCAGACTGACAGCAGGGAGAAGAAACTGACAAATGACAAACTGCTACGGCTTCGAGCCAAACTAGCGGTGGCTGGCAAAGTGAATCCCGATCAAACCTTTTCGGTCGATAGCCGGACATGCATCAGCTTGTCAGCTTATAACCGTACAAGAGTGAATTGAAGACTCTTGCACCTATAGCTCTACTTATGACTCATGACTCTCGTTCTCCTGAGATATCTCCTTCCTCGTCCTGGGTCTTCGGAGGCCTCTCTCAACCGGGATTGCACCTGCACATCTTGGCCAGCTGATCCAGTTACGGTCTCCGATAAAAACTCTGTGCAGTTGCAGAGATATTCTGCCTTTCGCACAACTCCACGTCCAGGGACAGACGAGTCTTTGCTTTTCTCCGGTTGCTGCGAATCCCATGAAAGGCCATTTCAACTTCAAACACCTCATTTTGCACTGTGGCTTCAACAATCTGAAGCGTCAAGCCAAAATTCCCGAGAACCTCCGATCCCTGGCGGAAAAAACGCAGAATCAATGAGCTTCCACATGGTGGCCAACGAGCAAGAATATCGTCCTGAGCAAGTGTATGCCTTTATGGCGCACCCTGCAGCAGTCAGAGCGCGGGCCAGCCTGGGCCACTCTTTCATCCTCTTACATCGACTGACACACCCCCCGGCTTCAAGACGAAAAACCAATAAATCTTTTGCAACAGGATTTTCTGACAAGACTCCAGCCCGGACGCCCTCAAGGCCCCTCTCATCCTCCACTTCTCCATTGTCTTTGCCTCACATGGCACAGTGGCAAGGCACCCAGCACCCCACCCCGACATAGTCGGTGGTTCGCACCACCACCATTCTCTATCTTGTACTTGTGCAACAAGACAGCTCCAGGCCAACTCCCCAACCTGCATGCTCTCCAGGCCCCCGATCATTCCTTGTCCAAATGTGGCAGATCCGCCAACCCAGCTTCTCCCATTGCCTCCCAGGCCGCGGTCCGCTCGGTGTTCCCCCAGCGCTGTGCCCTGCAAGCTCGATGCCAGGCCGCAGACCAAACACCACGAAAGATCTGAGGCTGCCTGTTGAGGCTGCAGCAGTGCAGCAGCCTCCGCCTCTTCCTCCGCAGCGTCAGTTTCAAGAATTTCAAAGCGTAATAATAGGAAGATCCGCAAAACCACCGCGTCTTTTCTGCATTTTCTGCCACGTCTCCGTACCATTCCTAAAGTTCAAGCTATGAAGGTGCCGCCCCCTCACTCGATAGTGTGGAACAGAGCGTAGGAGATCAGTCCCACGCCGAACACACGGCACATGGCCCTGAGGAAGGGACTGTCAGCATGTTTCGAAGTTGGGTTGTCTTTGTCCGGCTTTGAAAGCCCCATACTGGATTGCAATGATGGAAAGAAACTCGATGGATGCAGCTACGCTCAAAAACTCTTTTCAAAGAGCACCGCAAAAGTCGCGGCAATTCACTTGATTTATATCTGCTGGGGGAACCAGTCCTGGCGGTACCTTTCTTAATTCTTAACGCAATCCGTCACTTATGCAAACCACCCACATGTCCGAGGCGCTGAAAGCCGAAGTAAGTCATCATTGTTGCGCCAAGCAGAGGGCCCAGGACATACCCGATCTGCTGAAACATGTTCATGATACTGAAGACCTGGCTCATAGTGGCTTGCAGATACACTTGAGGGCTCTTCCCTGCAGCTTGAGCAATCAGTGTGCTCGCGCTGCTCAAACTCAAAATCATCAAGACCTCGTCTGCCATCACGCGCGTAATTACAACCCAATTCCAATTCATGGAAGAATGGAATGAAAGGAACTCCTCAGCAATGCCTTCTCTTCGTCCCCGTATCTCCTTCCGCTCACGTCCTGATCATTTCATGCGACGTCTGCTTACAAGGCTAAGGGTGTTGGCTCTCAGTTACGTGATGGGGTGTTGCATGCAATTTAAATATTGCGGCTATTGCGTTCATGGCCGTCAGCAAGGAGCCTCGGACTGACAGGTCTGCATCGTCTTAGGAGCCGCAAGACAAAGACGGCCAAGTAATTTTGTCATGACATTTTTAGAGGCTGCAAAAAACAAATTGGAGTTGCAATTACTTGTTGCATTCCCTGCTGTTGAATGAACTTGCACTATGATTTGCTACCGTCGAAGTTGCTGACTGCTGGATTGAACTTGAATCCATGCAGAAGTAGGAACCCACGGTGGGAACGTCAACATGAGGAGGACGAAGAGTTGCCCACATTATGGCATGGGAGAAGAGTTCCTCTTTTCGACCCCGGGAGGAACCAAAATTGTCGGTCCTCAAGCATCCTCGGCACCACGCTGTTCCTTAGGTGAAGCTTAGAGACAAAGTCGCTTTCCTGGAACAAATCTGAAGCCTGACGCACTACTGACCGACTGGCTATGGATGAAACCAGTGGAATCGCCAGGAAGACTCGGCAGAGCTCAGAATGGACGTTGTTGTCCGGAACCTCCCCACCCTTCCATTGCAATGGCTGTCCACTGCTGCCCACCAGAACATCCGCCAAGTTGCGTACAGCCAGCAGCAACGCCTGAGAAGAAGAGCTCGAGGATCAGAACGCCCAGTGATCCTCCGCTGGCTTTCTGGATGGATGGACTAGACTGGTAACCGCCCAGAACAATGTGTACGCTTACGTAAGCAGAGACCGTCAAAGACCCCAGAGCAGAAAAGCCAGGCAGGTTCAATGCAACGGTTCAAGTATGGGCCAAAAACCCCTCTAAAGCCTTCACTCTTATCTTGCTACCAGTAGTTTGCCAACGGGGGTGTTTCAAATTGTAGAAACTCCACCCACCACCACTGCCACCGCCGCAACCACCACCATCACTACCACACCACCAGCACTATTCTGCTTTGGCAGGTACCATGACTTCGATGATGACTGTTCGTTTTCGTGACGCTACAATGACGATTCCTTCTAGGACAAGCCGGATTGATCGAGCACCCTCAAAACTTACGCCCTGGATGCCCGCACCCCTGGAGTTAGCACAGGTGCCTTCTTTTGCGAGCATGGCAGCCATACCTCAGTCTGTGGAGGTGTGCAGCACCGGTTGCTGTCTATAGCTTACACTCAGACTGATATCAACTCGCAACTGCCGCAGGCGTAGTATGCAGTCTCTACGGTAAACTCATAACCCTTGCACCAGATCACTAAGTGCAGAAAGAGGAATCCACTGCAGCCACAAATGATTCCTTTGCTCCATACGCTTAGAGCTCTTGAGCATTTCCATTGCTGATATGGATCCTCTCTAACTAATTAATGATATCATTACACCCTGGATCACCCTGCAGCCTGCGACCACCAGCCCGCTAACCATCAGCAGACGGAATCCGATGAAGCGCGCCACCGGCCCCAACGCAAAGACCTTAGCCGGTAGCATGTAAGGCAGGTGCGGGAACAGCAAGTAAAGGAGGGAGGCTGCGTCGGCTGGCAATATTTCGACAGATCTTAAGGTAGTGACAATGTGCGGCAGGAACAGGAGAAATAGTTCTGGAGAAGCGGTTTTGGTATCAATTCCAGACTCACTTCGGAACCTGCTTCAGGGTGATATCTCTTTTACTGTGGGCATTAGTGGGCATTTGCTGCTATGACTGCAATGCAGCTATGCAACTAAAAACACCGAGGGCCACGTCTGAAACATCCACGCCATACCGGACATCACCACAGAGAAATTGTATTCCTGGCCACAAGCGTTGCAAGCTGTGTTTTAGATCAGGTCAGGATGTTCATAACCACTGAAACATCTTGTGTGAGACAGGCACAACCAGAAGAGCCCAGAATTCATCACAGCATCTTGGAAGACCTCACATATTGTAGCAAGTTTGACTTGAGAAGCGTAGAGTAGGACACAGAGTGGCCTCAAGGAGTTTACAAGGAGGATATTTGTTGAGACTGTCCCAAATTTGCATGGAACGAACCCCGCACTTCATGCATAATCCTGACATGCTACGGACAGGGTCAAGCGCGCAAGCAATCTTCCAAAGTGCAAGCATGCTGTAAAGCAAAAATCGGGCGGATGCCAAAAAAACGGCAAGCTCTGAAGGTTTTCCGCAAACAGCGGAGTATGCACATGCCCTTAAATGAAAATTCTTCCCACCTCTTGAAGCATCCGCGGAGATATCGTCTGGAGTGCTCCCGTAAACCTGAAAACTGTGGAGAAGAGTGGAAGTGGGATCTCCATTGACGGAGCACATGGATCTTTTGATTGCTTTTGGTCCTGTTGAAGCTGCGCTTTGTGGCTGGAGAGCTATGAGTTCTTCGACAATGACCCAACGAAGGAATCAGCCCGGTAAATGTACATTCTGTAGCAGGAGCAGCAACTGGACACGAGCCACATGGGGCCACAGTCTCAATCATCAAATGTCATCATAGCGCATTGAAGAAGCAGATTGTAAGCAGACTCTATTGCATATGAAATGATACTTGCAACTTTGAGACATCCCCTGCAAATCCCATCACTACATTAATCCGGACTCTTCGTCTTTCTGCCTGCCGTTTGGCATGAGACACACCGCTGAACGGTGCCCATATCTCGGAATACTGTTGGCAAAGAAAGCAGGAGCCCGACAAAGACATCCGGAATCCAGATGAAAGCCCCTGAAATGTGAGCTTCCGTGTGTCATCCAAGGCGCATAAGCAGTAGGGATACCAGCAATATTGGCCGCAAAGTCCTTAAAATGTTTCGGAATACAGGTCCCAGGCTCGGGGTAGGATTCTTTGTTGGGCAAAAAGCACTTGGCTTCGCAGCTCAGATTTCAGAATCTGGGCTTTCAGGTATCAGTGTCAGGCTCAGGTGTTGTGTCTGGCGACGCTGCTCCTGTTCACTTAACAGTCACCATCTAAAGCTGGAAATAGGGACTGGAATGCTTTCGTTGGAAGTTCAGGTGCAGGCTCCGTCTGCCATTTATAGCCCCGCTCCACGTCTGGCAGTATCATCACGCGTTGAACCCCCAGTCCAGCTTGCTATATGTAAGATGAGCTCCTCTGACCTCCCGGACGATAAGGTTTCCTCAAAAGCGGTTACCACTGCGCAAGACCCTCTGAGACTGCTTATCTAGAAAAATCCTGTCGTCTCTTGGTAAGGTAATGCGTGTCAACATAGCTTCGTTCTTTTCGAGGTGCACGGGGTCGGAGACAACGCTGAGGAAAGTTGCCAGGTCTGGTTTTGCTGCCTGCCGGAAAAGCGAACTCCACATGCTAATCATGAGGATGTGTTGGACAACTGTTCCATCTGGCCAGAATAAGACGTCACCACAATGAGGTTCCGTGTACCTCCTCGGTGACCCAACTCACGGAAGCTGGGCTTCAAGCTGGGAACCAGATTCCAACTACCAGTAACACCGTTAGCATGGAAGCCTTTTAATTACTCAATTTTAGTCAATGCTATCGCTTCTTGAGTTAGTCTGGGCAAGCTTCATGGTTCAGGACATGAAGAACCAGCATACGAAATCAATAGAACGAAACCCTCTAGACCTGCTGGCTTGAGAAGCCTAGTTCACAGGCAGCTACACTGGCGTATACGGCCTGTACTGACCTGTAATCTCATGGCTGCCCATATTGCAACTCATCTCAATCTTGAGTCGTTTCTACCTTGCAGTGCCCATGACATCCCCAAGCTTGTGCATATTCAGGGCTTTCCTTGATGGGTGTGTAGATGGAACGAAAGCCCGTTTGCCTCCTCCTCGTCCAGATTATACCAACTGAGCCAGATCGCAATCCTCTGTGAGTTGCAGCTCAGGAAGAAACGGGTGGACTTTGAAGGGCGGGCTACGATGAAATTGAACTTCGAGCCCATAGGGCGTTCCATGGCGTTCAGTGGCGTTCCACACTCATTTCAAAAGAATCATCTAGATTAACAACGCCCCGGCTCAGGCACTCTCCAGGCCACAGCGGAAATGAAAACTGAACATCGCAATATGCCATTCCGTGCTTCGAGGAAACCTGAAACACCAGCTGAAATCTCTGAAGCAAGTTCTGGGGGGGCTGTCCCACCCGAGGACTCCACGAGAGCCAACAAGATCCCTGGCTACATGTCAGAGTACTGCGGCCGTGCATCAGAAGAACGAGCTCTGCTAAAGCCAGCCACAAGAATGGCAGGAAGGGCTCCTTCGGGCGCATTTGTTTCGTGGTGCCCCAAAAGGCGAGAGGCACAAACCCAAAATCCAATGCCCTCTGAAGCCGTGCGATTGGTGCCAGTGATGTAACCATCAACCGAAGCCCTGCTGGGTCCAAACCATGAATTTCGGCCGAAAGACATTCAACGATATCCGGAAAAAAGTGCAGTCGACCAATTTGTTTGAGTTGATGGCCAATGTATGTTTGCCTGAGATTTGGGCTTGATTGGGAAATGACCGCGAAATGCGTGCTCCGAGCAATTTGAGAAAAGCCGACCATGATGCTCAGCACCAAATACTTTTGCCGCCTTTGAGTCATGGAACATCTGGTCCTGAATGGGGTTAAGGCACTTGATGACAGACCCTTCTTGCATTAGACATGGTTATGACAAAGCTCTCATTAAAAGCAAAAAGCAATGGGAATGGCCCGCCAGGGGAACGCCGGGCAGACTTTGACGAAGTCGTCGGACACGCAAAAGGTCAAGACAAAGTTAGTCGAGGCCAGAAGCACTTTGACGAACTTAAACTTAGATGAAGGGGCGGGTGTTTGCGCACCGAAGCCGTCAAAACTCTTCCTTTGAGGCAAAAATAGGCTTCGAAGGCAAGGTTTCATGTTTCCTTGACAAAAAGCAGGGGCCCTCAGTCGAAGAGAGGCGGGGGGAGGGGTGTCACAAGCTTAGACGTAGGCCCCGCGCCATTACTCCCTTTGCGCAATTCCCATGCGCTTTCCCTTGACATATGTAAACAGATTCCCTTGGCTTGCTGCTATAGCATTATGCGCAGGGATATCCGAAATTGCCTGTGCGAACAAAGCGTACACAATAAAGCCATCCCGGAACTTACATGAGACTGTCGAGGTAACTGGAGAGAGCATTCCTTCCTTTGGACAAGCGGCCAGAGAAAATGCAAGAGCACCGAAGGGCGTTCCGCAGACCAAACCTGCATAGATAAATTTGACCTCGGCCAAGCGTTGTGATCCCTTGGTTCCTCAAGTTCTGTGGGAGCCTTGCAGTCCTAGGTTCAGCCATGGATTTATTCAATAGGAAACTATTAACTTCCACAAGTTGCCGAAGACTGGCCGCAGGCACACGCTTGCTTTGGCGAACTCATTAAAACCCTCGCTCCTACAGTCTTCCTGATCCACGATTTCGTGAAGCACTCCACACTGGTAAGCCTTGAGAAGAAGCCAAGAAGACGTGCGAAAATCTAAGTAAAGCAGACATTGTTATGTGCTAGCAGTCCTTCCCCCTGCAAACAAGAAATAACGTGCAGCAATACTCCGTCGTGGTGCACCAGGCTTACCCAAAATAAGCTCCGACCAAGAGTCAGCTATACCGCTCTGAGCAGCCTGCGGGCAGTCAAGTCAGGTCACGTGAAAGCCGTTGTGCGCAACCAGAAGGCTGAGAAGATTTACTAGAGGTCATCTTTGAGGTTCATGCTTTCCCTCAACACCCAAGGTTAGGAAAAGCTGGGTGCGGATGGATCAGACTTGATTTTCTCATTGTCAACAATGCGCTGTTTGTCATAGTGGAAGAGCGACGGTTCAGGACTGCCTTCCTTGCTTGAATTCTGGGCTGGCAGAGGCTTCACAACACTATGCAAGCAATGAGTCTCCTCTAAAGGAAACTGCAGCACTGCAGCCCATGTGATTTTGAACAGGTCGGCAGGTACCTCGGATCTGGGGGGGTACAGGAGTTTGGAATTGGCAGGACCCACGGGAGCCCACCGTGGTGGCCGAAAGCTCCTCTTCGTGTGCATCTGGAGAACTAAGAATGATTAACGATATGGGAAGAGGGAAGCTGTGTGTGACAAAAGTCTCCTAGGGCCGAGTAAGGTGAAAACTTGCCCAACAGAACTCACGAGAACGATCAACCTGCTCAACATCCAGATTCCCCAAGTTTCAGTGCAGAGCACATCACCATATCTAAATTTGAAGCGCCCTCACAAGGTGCTTCAACAAAATGTCCCGCGACATCTCTCCCAAGACCTCTTCCTACACTCTGAATCCAACCGCGTCCATGACATTGAGAATTCAACACGTCAACATTCGCAAACCGTTGAATCTTCCGAAGCCCTAACCCCAACTTCCGCCTTGAACCCAAGACCGAAAGCTCCAACACAACCCGGATAACCCTGCCCCTTGAAGCTGCCACTATGGCCTCGAAACGGCTTGTGGTACGAGGGCTCGCCTATGAAAAGCTGCACTTGAGCATATGCGCGTGTGGGGCTCCCTCGTTGGCATCAACTCTTGAAATGTTGCTTATGTTTGTTTCTCCAGTAACATTCTTACAAGCTGAAATCAGATCTGGTATGACGCTCTCGCAATGCATCTGATAAAGTCCTTCCATCATTGTGGAGGTTGAAATATCTCCACTTAACTACCTGCTGCGGCACTCTTGCCAAAGCTTCAGAGCAAGCTATCACCTCCAAAGCATCTTTATGATCTCTTTTCTAAATATACATCAGCGCTGGGAGCAAGATTGCCTAACATATTTTCGGTGATTGCGTCGGTCATTAGGCCCACATGCTTCTCTGTCTTGAACTTCTCGATAAAGACATCTGATTCCCGTTGATAAGGGTAATAACGCAAGGAGGACTTATGATGACTTAGCCTTTGCAACCCTATTGCTCCATAAGATACATGCAAATCTGTTTGCTTCCTGCCATATCTGTATAACGAGCCAATCTGACGTGCAAAGTAGTGCGAGTACAGGTAAACTTTGCTGAATGCAAACCTGCCTACCTCATTCATCTCTTGTGAAGTCTGCATAATGTCCAATCTCTTGACCCGCAATAATTTGGAGCCTTGAAGTTGCGGGCCAACTATCTCAAACAATCTCTAGACAGGATTGGTTTCCTTAGATAAATAAGTTGTGGTTTGTGAGATTGATTCCATGAAGTGGGCTTCTATAAGCTGTTTGAATCAGGCCTGCCGGCGATTTGTAAAGAGTTCCTTCGCTGCCTGCAAATTTCTTTAGGGCAGTACTAAGGCAACGAGTGCCACATGTCCCTCTGAACATGTCCTCATTTATCACCCAAAATGCCCCACCACCACCTCATGCTGTGCAGCATTCATATCTTCAACGAATTAGCGAATAACAGCATGCACTTCTTAAAACCTCTGATGAGGCCCACATTTGCAAAAACACATTTTGGTTCTAGGCTTCTCCTTTGCCTGTATCAGCAGCGCTGATGCCATCCCTTGGAGAGCTCGGGAGAGGCAGAAGAAGAGGAAACCTCGAGGGAGCGCTAGGTGGAGGGTGGTTGGGCAGTTGTATCCTCTGAAGCACGATCCAGAAGGATCCAACAACGCAAAATGCGGATGTGACAAATCTCAATCACCGGCCCGTACTCCACTATGCTCGTTAATCAATGAAAGCTAGTCTCAGAAGAGCTACTTTTAGGCTATAGGTATGATCTTCATGCTGATATGGCCAAGGCACTGGGCATCAAGGCCTGCAAACGCATGAGTTCAGGCAACCCCAGCTTCAGAATTCCAAGGTTGTCTCTCAACACTCAGGTAGAAGCCATGGGACAGAGGCAGGCCAGGTACACCCTGGACATTTAACTGGAGTTTCCCTGCCCTACTCCACCACTGCCTGCCTTGTTCGGGAATGCAGCTACTATGTTCAAACCAAAACTGTGAACCATCAAACCCTTGGCAGTTGACACTTTTTTCCTAGCTCTAATGCAGATTAAACCTTGGTGCCGCTTTCTCAAGCAATTAGTCTACCCATGCCTAGATCGTCCGTGGAAGCTTTTGTGTGACGAATATCCTGAGCTGCTAGTATCATACTGGCTGTGTAAGTCCACAGCTCTTGCATAGTCCTTTACGGCAGGCCTCGGATTGCAAACCTGAATCCCTTTAATTAATTACAAGAAAGGCTGGCAGATGTCGTTCCATCCGGAGGCTAGCCAGCTTGCGGACTGCGTTCCAATAGCTCAAGGGGTCTGGGAAGGTGGGTTTACTTCTATGGCAGGCGAGGAAAGGACAGTCCATGAAATTCTGTACTGGCGAGCCGGTCTAGATGGAAATTAATTTTGCAAACCGTTGACGCCCGCATTTTTCCAATGCCGTGGAGGCTATGAAGCCCCTCTTTACAAACCACCTTGCAGGATGGAATGTGAGCACACCATTCTAGCATGAAGCGCCAAGGCCTGAAGCAGCAGCCCACTGATTTGAAGAGCTAAGCCAATCTGCGTGAAGTACAGCTCATGGCAGCGTACATACCTGAGTTCAGGGCAGGATTCTGGTTGTTCAAGGCTCAGCGTGCCCATTAAGGGGATTGGTTGCTGAGTGCACGCGCGCCAGCCATTTTCCTCAATGCAATGAACTCCTCCATGACTGTCCCCAAATCAGCCCCCCCCAGCTATCTCAGGCTGGATCAAATCAGCAGACTAGGGACCAACAAGGGATCAACAGCCTGTAATTGTGAGTCGAAAGTCCACCACACGCGATGCTCACAACCTGCTCTACACTGCAAGTTCTGTTAAATCCGCGCCGTGGATGCGTGCATCCTTTCGTTTCGAACGCTGCATATAATCTGCATGACACCTATCAAAACCTGGGAACAATGCCCGGCCTCACACTGAACGGGGCGGTTAAAGCCTGTGCCAAAGGCTTGGCAGCGACGAGGACGGCCACCGACAGGAAGTCTGGCGCCTTGGGCAATCATAAGTATTGCCATGATGAGCCAATCAGGGCACCAGATCAAGAAATAGATGCAACCGATTCAGTGGATCAGCCTTGGAACAGAACTGGGATTATTGTCATCTTCATAGTCATGGCCAAAATCAGAAGTCAAGAAACTCCATGAACCCCAGCTGTACCCTTGGCCATCTTAAATCTAATTCCAAGGACCTGCAGGATGGCAATCTTCAACACCAGCTTCCAAACATTAAGCAGAAGCCCATAAAGGCCTCCTGGAAAACAAGCTGCGTACAGGTATATTTTTGAACATGTCTCTATCCAAAGCCCCAGTCGGTTCCCTGATCGTGTGGACCAACATTCACCACGCTGCCAGCAGGGGGAAGATGGCAATGGGCAGCTCTGTGCAGATGGAGTCTAGACCTAGAGCTGTCTTGTGAAGTTCAATAAGATTTCATCGTGCAGCCATTGCCAGTTCGGCATGGCATGCACTTCTCAGTGTGAACCAAAGATAGAAGCTAAAAGATTGGATGAAGATGCTGCGCCAAGATGCAGCCGATCATGGACACCAACAGCCAGTTTGGCGCAATCATCACATATCCAGCAAACGGGATGAGGGCAAAACCTAAGTCTGTGCTCAGAGGCTTGAATAAAAATGAACCTGAACGCTTCTCGGTAAACTGGGACCCCCGTAGTCTAGTTTGCTGACGCTGTCCAGGCCACACATGATGTAGAAGCTGATGGCAGCACTCTGAGGATCATAATATTCGCGTAGATCAACCACCTGTCTGAGGGCAGTGATGCAAACTAACTTGAGAGAACAATCCCTGTTGCGCAGTACCAGTTGTAGTGCTCGGGGCCCTCGGGAAACCAATGCTAGAAGAGATCTGCTATTAACAGTCAACTAAAAAGCTTTGCTTGGATTTCGTACCTTCTCAGCTTACTGTGCTACACTTAGCCTCCACTCATATCAAATCCGCACGTTGTCCAAATTCAACAAACAGACCGCCACATGACAAGCAAACATCGTGCCGCCCCGTACCATGTTTTTTTTTAATGATCAGCTGCGGTTGTCTTGCGTCCTCTGCACGCGCATGCCGATTCTTCATTGCATGTCAAGGTTTGCATTTGCTGCGGCTTGGCTGCTATTTCCTCCAGTTTGATGCTTCTTGATCATACATAAGAAGCTTGATTCCCTAGCTAGGTTGGACTAGGGGTACCTGGATTGGTTAGGGGCTTGTCTTCTGTGGGTCTTTTGTGTAATTTCACAAAAGGCAGTATGGGTCCCGGATGGTCCCGGAAGCACGCACGTTTCTGAAACTGAAGCTACAGTACGTCAGCAGGCGGCCGGAGCGGCTCGTAGGTCTAGCAAATCTCAACCTGAACTGCGTGAGTGAATCACGGTCTTCATCCTTTCCTAGCCAAGCAAAAATCGGAGGCATCACGATCGAGTGATGAATTCATCAGCAGGAAGCGTTGCCACTTCGACCTGCTGCGTGGCCAGACGTATTGCCCTTAATTACACCGACTCATTTCCAACCCTTGCAACTGGCATAAGTTTGCAGGCAAGGTTGCCTCAGGCAGGCTCGTGAGGCCGTCCAAGTTGAAGATCTCCCTAGTGAGATTCCTTAAGGCAGCTGGTGCTTCATGATCAAGAGCTGAGTGCTTGAAGGGTAGACTCTCGTGTTTAGGATTGAGGTCTTTCAAACCTTGCTGAGCCCGTTGCTACCAGGAGGAGTCTGTGTATGGTTCTAGGAATTTGCAATGGCTCCCGTTCAAGGCTGTTGCTTGGACCACACTGGGAAAAGGTCCTGATGGTAGAGCTCATGCCGCTCTCCTTTCTCAAAACCAAAACCGTGTCAAGGCTCTGCCAATGCCCGGCATCGCTCTCCAGGGAGAGCTGTAGGAAGGAGACCTCTGTGCAAGGGAGCGTAATGCAGTTGTGTACCAAAGCCTCACATTTAGTTAGCATTTGAGAGGCTTGATGGCAAAGGAGACTGGAAGTGTCGCGCTTGAAGATCATGCTGCTGGCTTCATAGTCTCTCGGTGGTTTGGAGGGTATACTGTAGCATACAAGTCTTGTCTTATAAAGGAAGTTGAACTGCTCGGCGGAGCTCCTCATCTCCAACAAATTCAAGCTGTACATATACGTATTATTCAGGATGGTACAGTAGGGGGTGGAGGCAGGCTCGAGCGCGTCCGACACAATGGAAGCTACATGGAACGACTGATGCCTTGCCCCGCAAAGTTTTGACAGAGTGTGCGTCAAAGGTCGACACGATCTGCATGCTGCTTTTGCTCTGAACCTGATTGTAGCATGCTACTAGTTTCTTTGCGAGAGAGGCAATCTACTGGGCCATGAGGGTAGGAGCTGCACATGTTTTCATGACTCCTGGTTTGGAAAGATCGGAGCTTGCAATGCAGACTGGCGGAATCTGCAGGGATGATTCAGAGCATTAGTGTGCCTAGCAGGCACAGAGCATCCTACAGACTCATCGCAAGTTTAGTTTAGCACGCACTTACTCGCCAAATTTGATTTCCGAACCTTGTGATGTGGACTTTAAAAAGCCCAGTAAGAAAAACAGAAACGGCTTGACACCAACAAATTCCAAAACAGAGCCCCTGATCTTGAGACGGTCTGGTTTGCAACAGGCCTCGTCAACGGGCAGCTCTTCTTCGGAGAGTCCCTGGTACGAGCACTGCACAAAGGTGCTCTATGGCAAGAAAAAACCCTCGTCACGCCTCATTTCTTGCACGCACAACTCGATAAAACATTCCCAGATGGATGATGTTGGTTTGGGGAGGCGGCAGACTTCACCTTGATGCACTCCAGACGTAATTAGGCATTTAGCTCCAGGATCTGTTCAGGCGCCTGAGCTGCTGAGCATCCTGCCAGACAAAGAAGCAACAGCTGCCAAGGCCATGAGTGAAACGCAAGCATCAGAGGCTTCCCGCGGCTCAGCGCCAGATGTTGCAGACGTATGAGTTGTTGTAACATGGGTTGAAGGCCCAGAGCTCAAACACCTGAATGCCAAGTTTTCATGGAGCGGCTACATGTCCACACTGAGATGGCGAGCCTTGCAACCCTGGAACTCATTCGCTTTATCTAACTTTCCAAGACCTTCCTAGGTGGACACCTGGCGCTTCTCCGCAGGAGCCTCACCAGAAGTCGTTTGCAGGTTCGGTATCTATATGCAGTCCTTGGGCCCAAAGATGGGTGGCAACATGCATCAGCATCAGACCCTTCAGGTGCTGGTCTTGTTTCAGTGGTGCGAGCCTTTCGAAGCATCCAATGATTGCGGGGTCGTTCAAGCGTTCTTCTTTCATGTTCTTTCCTTCTTTCTTACTCAAGGAACGCCGCATCAGAACCCATGACTCAAAGTTCAGCCCATCTGAAAGGTGAGACTCGCCGTCGATGTGTGGTGCTCAGAAACCTGGCCGACCTGGCCTTTCAAAACACGCAAGCCGAGAAAGGTCTTGGATACGTTCTAAGGCCCGCGCACAGCTCAGTTGACCGATTCTACGGATTGTCTCTGCCCAGGTTGTTTGCAAATGGCTTGACAGCAGGCGCCATAAAGCCTAAACATCTTCCGTAGCAGGACAGGCCTAAATACCTCAAGCCCATTCGCAAAGGGCGTGACCATGCAAGGCTGCCACTCCAAGCCTTGGAGCTACCACTGCGATCTACGTCTGATCGGTACCGTACAGTGACCTGATCCCCTAACGATCTGATGATTGTTCTTGCATTTTCTCGCTAGTATCATATGTCAAATCTCGCTATTCCTGTGACCCCTTGTTTCTTTTTGCGCCCTCGCAGCCAGTCGACCGTCTCTTTGCGCTTGCCTGTCCAGTTCAACCTCCCAAGCTGCGGAACCCAAAGCCACGTTTGTTGGTCTTGGTGTCTACTACTGGTCTGGGGCTTCGTGGCTTAACTGGTGCTTTCGGTTGTTTTTAAGTTTTGGATTGAAGGCGACTCTACTGTCAGAGGTCCAGGGTACTTCATACTCCTGCTACTTGGCTAGCGTGAGATGCGAGCCAGCGGAGGGCAAACAAGGAAAACAAAACATGTTGCCCTAAGATTTGCTGAGGTGCTGACAGCCTGAAAAACCTAATCCGTAACACTGCTCAACACCTTCTGCACCCTCGACCTCCACACCCCTTCCATCCTCTGCACCCTCGGTCTTCTTCCCCCCAAAATCACAGCATGCCAAGTCCGAGAAGCAAGAAGACTTCTACAACTTGGTTGCCACATAACGGCAAAAGCCACAGCCATGATGAAGATTAGAATCATCACAGGAGTCAAAGGCATTCGCAAAGACTCTGGTTCACCTGTAGAGCAAAAACCCTCGAGCTTGTGGCCTGGCCACCACCTCCAGTCTGGCGGAATGCGGCTGCAGGTCAAATGGCTGCAGCTTCCTGGTCATCAGTTTCAGGACCCAGCGTATACCGCTCGCCGATTGTACCGCTTTCTCCGTGTCATCCAGGGTTTGAGATTTCTCAACCAATCGTCAACCAAAGAAATCATACCCAATGGATTGGAGTGCTCTGCATGGATCATAACTAGTCCTAGATCATGCACTCTAGGGGCTGTAGCTGGGTTGCAGTTGCTTACGACTGAGGGGTTATGAGAGGAGTCTCTCTTCTGAGTCACTGCCGCTTGCGGATGCACAGTTGACCGAGGATCGAACTTAACTTAGGTAAGGTCTTTACGCGCAGGTGAACTTAAGGGTCACGGAAAAGGAGTCTTAGTTTGATACTAGTAGGACGGAGAGATGTCTAGAATTTCGAAACTCATTCAGCTCCAAATGTTGCAGAGTACTCTTAGGGATCCGGAGCTCCATCTGAACGTTGAAAGAAATCCTATAGTAGCACACACGAAAACCCATGCAACCAAGGATATGACCGGCAATACACAGCGGCCTCATGCTTCACATCTCTGGCGGCAAGAAATCCCAGAACCCCTTCCTTCCAAGTCAAAGTAACACGCGCAACAGCCCTTTCAGATTCTGGAGGTGCTGCAATGCGGGTTAACGCTTCAGACTATTCGTAATGGGTCTCCTCAGCTCGTAGCCCCGCTTTGACAGCAGTGCCACATCTCGAAGCAGCCCACGTCCGCTACCTACCTTGTCCAGCAAACTGCCCAAAAACAGAAGGGGTACGGATAATGCTAATCAATCATGAAGCGGAAGTCATAACAGTCCAACGAGCTTGTTCAGAAAATCGCTTTGACCTTGGGGCTCCCTTTTACCGTACGGGTCACAGATGCCAGGTGATCGCAACATGGGAGAGTTAATGTAGGACACTCACACGGTTTTGGCCCGCACTAGCGAATGCTAAAGCGAGAAATCAGCACGGTAGAGCTTATCGCGTGATGGTTGACTCAGCAACAGCATGACGAAACCAAACCCCACAGTACTACTGCTCTTGGAGGGCAATGGAACCTCTCCGGTCTGCTGCGGTTTGCAGGCTTGAAGGGGAGGTATGCATGGCAATGAACTATGCCAATATGTTTGACGAAAAACATGCCCTGACCCATGCAGCGCGCTGCAACAAGCGAGAATAGCAAGAAGGCACAGCTTGTCCTACATGACCCTGTGGGCCATGGTTCTGCGAAAGCGTTTTGGTAGGGCATGGGAGTCTAAGGAAAGTGAGTGCTAGCATCTTTAACATAATCACCCACCTCAAAACGAACCAAGCCACATAAATCAGTGTTTGCGCACGCAAATC